CCTCCCCACTCCAGTGGTGGGTTCCTCCCGGTTCGGTCGAGCCGGTAGCAGTGACAATATGACGTCACCGAAGCGGTTCTCTTTGTTCGGGAGCTGGGCCCTCCCACCCCGCGTTATTCTTACCTTTTATTTGGCCCCGCCCCCAATCTATTCGCTGCCTCCCGAGTCCCAGCTGATTGGCTAGAAGGAAAAAACTGTTTAAACTCTTCCCGCAGGACTTCAAAGGGCCACCCTACAGCTGATCAGTGTTAAAAGGCAGTGTGGTGGTAGACCAGTGCGCTCCAAAAACAAATGGGTAGACCGGTGCCTCCAAAAACAAATGGGTAGACCGGAACGCTCCAAGAACAAATGGATAGACCGGTACAGTTCTGCAAACAGTTAAAAGCCTGGTAGACCAGTACCTCTGCTAAATCCTAAAGAATTGTCACATGATCATCAAACCACGCCCACAAAATAAGCCACGCACACAGAACTGGTAGTAAAAAAATTTAGAACCCACCCCTGCCCCACTCCAGGGGCAGGTTACTGCAAAATTCCCATTCCCTCCCAATCAGCTGGGACTCGGGAGGCAAAGAATAGATGGGGGTGGGATGAGTCAGAGGTGGTATTACCAGTTCTCTGAACTACTCAAAATTTCTGCTACTGGTTTTCCAGAACTGGTCAGAACCCACCTCTGCAGTAGTTCAGGGTTGAACTGTGGGGGTCCTTTGTGCTTTCTGAGCTTGATGGTTTTCTGGCAGATGTTTCATTACCCAACTAGGTAACATCATCAATGCATTCAGAGAGCACCAAGGACCCCACACTTTTCAGCATATCTGAGGTGAGTCTTATTGTTAATGGGGCTTTTCATGAGGGCAGCAGACCTGGGGAAATCCATTGTGGAAGAGATGGAATGTTGAGGTCATCAACATCTGACAGACAATGGATGGTTGGGATTTCTCTAAGTTGCCATTGCCTTAATAAGCTATCCTTGGGCTAAATTGGGAGCTGGTGAAAAGACCTCCATTCTTTGCTTTAGATGGGATTGCAGGAGGGGGGCTTTGTCTGAAGCAGGGAGGGTCAGTTTGTGTCTGATGGGATTAGGTAAAGAGAGGAACTGGGTTTAACCCTGGTCATAGTTAAAAGAGCGGAGAAGGAGAGGTGCAGTCTCCATTTTCTGTTTTAGGATTACTATTTTCCCAACACTATATAAATTGTAAAATAATTAAAAAGAATGCTTTAGTCTCGATCTCTGCTTTGGAAAACCATTCTTTTCTATCTTTGAAACTCTGATCTCTTGCTTAGATACTTTTTTTTTTCCTGATGATCAAAGCATTGATTCAGGGAAAGGAACAATTGACCCTTTGGACAAAAGGCCAAGCACATCACAGATTAGATTTATACAAAGAAAGAACATAAAGCATAAAGCTGTTTTCTAAGTGTGTGGTCTTTTTTTTTTTTTTTTTTTAAAGATCTTTAACTTTTTAAACCCCAACTGATTTCTCCTCGTTTTGCATTCTTTTTTCTCTTACAAGAATTTAAGGGGGAGGGGGAGTTTCCACCCTCCATTATTGCAGTCTTTGACAAAATCTGAAATACCGATTAAATAGTTGCTACATACATTTAGTGGAAGTTCATTTGGGAGCTCTTAAGATTGCATTTTTAAAAGGCAATTCATATAACAAATAGGATTTACCAGGTTTCTGCTTGATCAGCAATGATTTTATCATTTATATGAAATCATTATCACAGTTCATTACCCATCAAGGGAAAGCATCGGACTGAAACAAAAGGAGAAAAATTAGCTTTGATGTGCCAGAACCGGGTTTCATCAAATGCCAATATTTTGTCAAAACTAGGTTGGAATGAGGGGATTTGAAAGGTTGTTCTAACCATTTTAAAATCATGCCATATTTCTTCCAAGTTTTCTATATGTAAAAAAATCTAGCTAAGTCTGTTGATTTGTCTCCTCAACTATTTTCTTTGCTTTTCATTCCTTAAAATTACTTGTTAAAAGTTGGGATGTACCCCAAGTGGATCCAAGAAAGCATATAAAACAGGTGAGTTTGTTGAGGAAATCCCTCTCTGTCCTCTGTCCTCCTATCTGTTTAATATTTGCATTTGCAAATATTTAAATATGCACATTTCAACCCGGGTTTCTCCAGAATGACTTACAAAATATTAAAAAAAAACAAATAAAATTCCAAAGACAATAAAGGATGATAATTAAAACCCATAATATTAAACAATAAAAGCACCTGCCAAAAATAAATCTAAGCAGGAAATTATGTCTACAATCAACATATTCATTTATTCAAATGACAGAGTATGAAAATGTATTAGGCTTAAGAAAACAATCCATCTGGCGCCAGACATCTATTCATTAGGGAGAGCCTAGGTATTCTAGGAGTCCTCTCCAACACCCCTCTTCAAAAGCATCAATACTGTTCCTGTTCCGTGTCTTCATAGCACAAATTTGCCTCCAAGAGTGTCATAGGGAACCTCATTTGCACAATTCTGATCTTTGTTGGTATCGATATCACAGCATTTAAATATATTTTTCAAGGCCTTCATGGCTGCTACCAAGTGCTAGCCTGGATATTTCTTGAGTGCTTGTTTCTTTACTGTTGATGGTTGATCTTAAAAGGCTGAACCCATCTACCACTTTGTTGTCTTCATTGCCAATTCTACGGCTGGTTGTTCTACTGGTTGTCACTAGTTGTTTCTTCTTCTTTAGATTTAATTCTAGTCCCATTTTTTCCCCACTTTGGTTTTTAATATCTGGGCTTGCAACTTGACATTTTTAGTTATTACAGTATCATCGGATTCCGAAAGATCTCCTATGTGGAGAATTAGTGCAGGGAAAGCGCCTCAGAGGGAGACCACAGCTGCGATATAATGATATCTGCAAGAGGGACCTAAAGGCCCTGGGAATGGACGTTAACAACTGGGAAACCTTGACCTCCGATCGTTCAGCTTGGAGGCTAAAGATGCAGCATGGCCTTCTCCAATTCAAAGAGACACTTGTTCGGCAGGCTGAGGCAAAGAGGCAGTCCCGGAACCAGTGAAATCGGGGGACTGGGCAGGGGACAGAATGTATCTGCCCTCAGTGTGGAAGGGATTGCCACTCTCAAATTGGCCTTTTTAGTTATACTAGATGCTGTTTTAGGACCTCTTTCCAGAGCATGATACCATAGTCTCTTGAGATTGAAGGATGCCAATGCAATATCATCAGCATAGCTCAGGTTACAAGGATGTTTGTTCCTCCAATTTCAAAACCATGCTCACCTTTTTCCAATCTATCTTCCTGTAATATATTCTGCTCAAAAAAATAAAGGGAACACAAGCAGAAGACATCTGAGATCTGAATGAATGAAATAGCCTTATTAAATACTTTGTTCGTAGTTTTGTGTTCCCTTTAGTTGTTTGAGCAGCGTATAAACTACTGTATGTAAAGAACAAAGTATTTAATAAGGCTATTTCATTCATTCAGATCTCGGATGTCTTCTGCTTGTGTTCCCTTTATTTTTTTGAGCAGTATATATTCCACGTATAGATTGAATAAAAAAAGAAAGATGTGTGTGTGTGTGTGTGTGTGTGTGTGAAGTAAGCAACCTGTCACACTCCTTTGCCAACCAGGACCTAGTCTATTTCACCGTGTTCTGTGTGTACCGTGGCTTCCTGACCTGTATATAAGTTTTTCATGAGGACAATGAGATAGCAATAGCACTTAGACTTATATACTGCTTCAAAGGGCTTCACAGCCCTCTCTAAGCAATTTATAGAGTCAGCATATTGCCCCCATCAGTCTGGGTCCTCATTTTACCAACCTCAGAAAAATGGAAGGCTGAGTCAACCTTGAGCCAGTGAGACTTGAACTGCCAAACTGCAGGCGGCCAGCAGTCAGAAGTAGCCTGTTCTGGATTGCCATTTTCCTGAGCACTTTCCAGAGCTTGATGTGATCAACACAATAAAAGGCTTTTCTATAATCAGTGAAGTGTATACTGACTTTTTTCCAATGTTCTTTGGCATTCTCAATTACCCAGCACGTATTAGCAATAAGAAGAGATATTACCAAAACCGAATTCAATATTTTTACTCTTTCATTCAATCTTGTTGTATCTCCTTCATTGCTCTTGTTTACTTTCTTTTCCCATTTTTGATACTGCTTTTTATTTTTGCTTGTCTGAGCATGTTGTACTGGTTAAGATACCCTGCAGCATTCATATAGTGTGACCTCATTGTCCCATCTGTGATAGTAACAGCATCCAAGAGATTGTGATCTACATAGTAGATGTTGTTGGGAAATATCAAAATTTGCATTACATGTGAGGGAATTTTTTAAGCTTTTGATACTATATAACTTGGCATACCCCATCTATGGTCAACTATCTTCATTCACAGTTGGGAATTATGGGTGTTTATTTATTTATTAAATTTATATGCGGCCCATCTCATGGTTTGAATCGATCTTGGGAAGCCATTCATATTAGTTACTTTGTAATGTATGTTGATACCTAAGCATTCGTGATTTTGCAAATATTAAAAATCAGCCATTCATATGGCAACACAATTATGATTTTCTCATTAAAACAAGTGACAGATTCATAAGGTCACTACTGGAGATGTTATATATATAATCTATCACATACATCCATGTCAGTGATAAGTAAATACGTGTGAATTGATTGTATACATCATTACAAAGATTAACTACAGTATTCACTTTGATTTTTTAAAAAAAACATAGGTACCAAAACATCTTCCTTATTTTATTTTTTATTCAGTTCTGAATATTTTTTATTCAGTTCTTGAAATTCAGTTCTTGAAGACATCAGCTGTCTTTACATGGGGTGGAGCATGAAATCTGATCACGGTTGGCTCAGATTAAATAGCTGCTAAGGAACAAATGTGGATTCAGCTCTACTGCTTCATCACATCTCTAATTTACTCCGTAATTCAACAATCAAACCAACATTGCTGTACCATATAGAACAAATGACATCAATTATTATACAATATGGATTTAAAGTAATTTTATGTATTCTTCCATGCCAAATACTTTACATTCCTATAATGTTGCATTTCAGGAATGTTGCTTATTCTAATCTAACCAAACATGCTTCCAGATGAGACTTTTATTGTAATATTACTATGCCTTGTGGAATTTGAGACACGCAGATGACAGCACGGTCTATTTGTAATCAGCTCATGTTTTCTAATACATTTCCATTTTTGACCTAATTCCAAACTATTGTTCGAGAAGAGAAGAAAGAACATACGTGCGAAGGCAGATGATGTTTTAGGAGGATATTACTTCTTCATCTCTGGCGATGTATTCTGTAAAGAAAATTCATTTCTCTGTTCCAAGTCTTCTTCAAATCTACTATTGGGTGGTATCCCACTAACACACCCATAATTAATTCTGAATAAGCACGTTTAAATTTTGGCTACAAGGCTTCAGTATTTTTGCTGAAATTCACCAGATTATTTTCAAATTACTATTTATTTAAAACGCAAACTTTCATTGTGCTGAAATAAAAAAAAAATCCCAAACTGCAGACAAATAGTCTCTTTCATTTATTTATTTTTAAATGGAAGGGGTAAAAAACCGGCAAAATTTTCTTCCCTTGAAAAGACTGAATAACGGAAGTCCCTGCAATGCAAGGGAAAGAAAAAAGGAAATATTTTTGCCACTTGAGAAGTTAATTGAAAAAGCAAGAATGTTTGAAATTTAGTACAAAAAAAAAAAGAAAAGCAAGCTTACATGTATTGTAGCTGACTGTGTAGAACTAACCAGAAAGAGAAAGTTTAAAATTGCCTACCAAAAATTGGGGTGTCTGTATGCAATGAGGAGTTTTCTAGCATGAGACAAAACATTTATTTAGCTATTTTATTTATTTATTTTATTTGATTTGTATACCGCCCTTCTCTAGCAGGACTCAGGGCGGTGAACAGCCGAGATAAAACAGAGCATACAAAATTTAAAAAACAATTTAAAAGGTAATTAAATAATTTCGGCCCACAATTTAAAACAACCCAATTAAAACCAATTTCAAATTAAAACCGAAACGGATGGGATCAAGCCAGCCCGGCTAGGTGAAATAAATGAGTTTTCAGGGCCCGACGAAAAGTCCGGAGGGTCTGGTATCATACGTATCTCTAGGGGGAGGTTGTTTCAGAGGGTGGGTGCCGCCACAGAGAAGGCTCTCCCCCTAGGGATCGCCAGCCGACATTGTCTGATGGACAGCACCCTGAGGAGGCCCTCTCTGTGCGAGCGTACTGGCCGGTGGGAGGCTATTTGCGGCAGAAGGCGGTCTCGTAAATACCCCGGCCCTAAGCCATGGAACGCTTTAAAGGTGGTCACCAACACCTTGAAGCGCACCTGGAAGACCACCGGGAGCCAGTGCAGCTCGCGCAGGAGAGGTGTCACATGGGAGCGCCCCGTTGCACCCATAATCCCCCGCGCGGCCACATTCTGGACCAGCGGGAGCCTCCGGGTGCACCCCAAGGGGAGCCCCATGTAGAGAGCATACAGCTTCTTCACTGTTTTAAAAAGAAATAAGATTGCAATCCACTTGTCCTGCTTTTCTTTTCAAAACTAGAATTTTAAAAGACAGGATGGCAAATAAGGGAATAAAATAGTCAAATTGGCAGCTGAAACTCATTTGAAACTCTGACCCTTTTTAAATGTATGTTGTGCAAGTACCATAAATCTAACAAAACAAAAAAGCTGGTGTTTCAATTATCTGGTTGTGGTTGCCATCTTGACTTTTTTGACACACATAGATGCCCCTTGTGCTTTTTTATTTAGCGTATGGCATGTCATACGTGGACTAGCAATATATATTAACATTTCACCTAGATTAGTAAAACAATAAAATATCAATGTTAAAAAAAAGATCTATGTTCAAATACTAATGTTGAGGCCAGAGGTCCCTAATCTGCGGCCCACTAGTGGGCTGTGTCGGATTTGCAACTGGGCTATGGAAATGGCCGGTGAGCACTAGTGTGAGCAGCAAGTGAGTGCGTGCACACCAGGGCCGGATTTAGATTGAAAGAGGCCCTAGGCTATTCCACTTATGAGGCCCTTTCACCAGTGGTGGGATTCAATTTTTTAACAACAGGTTCTGTGGGCGTGGCTTAGTTGGGGGTGTGGCTTGGCAATCATGTGACTGGGTGGGCGTGACTAGCTGGTCACGTGACTGTGTAGGCGTGGGTAGCTCATCATGTGACCGGGTGGGCGTGGCTGGGCCTCACACTTTTGACCGGTCCTCACACTTATGACCATCCTCACATTTATGCCCGTGCAGCTTTCTTAACAACCATGTCACTCATTTCACAACTGCTTTTCTTCACCATGGTGACAAGATAGGGCAAAAACGTAAAATGTGAGGACAGTCGTAAGTTCGAGGACTGGTCAAAAGTGCGAGGACCAGTCAAAAATAACTTTTTCAGCCCTCTGAGTAGTCCATATGCACAAAAGGACTACCCAGAGGGCTGAAAAAAGTCATTTCTGACTGGGCCTCGCACTTTTGACCGGTCCTCACACTTATGACCATCCTCACATTTATGCCCGTGCAGCTTTCTTAACAACCATGTCACTTATTTCACAACTGCTTCTCTTCACCATGGTGACAAGATAGGGCAAAAATGTAAAATGTGAGGACAGTCGTAAGTTCGAGGACTGGTCAAAAGTGCGAGGATCAGTCAGAAATAACTTTTTCAGCCCTCTGAGTAGTCCATATGCATAAAAGGATACAGCAATAGAGAGGGATGAAGGAAGGGAAGGGAAATTAGAGTAAGAGAGAGAGGGAGGAAGAGAGGAGGAGAAGGAGAAAGGAAGAGGAAGTAGGGAGGAGAAGAAGAGGGGGAGGAAGAGAAAGTAAGAAGGAAAGAAAAGAGAGGTGGTAGGTTTGAGGAGAAAGATTGCTGTACAATAAAAAAGATGAAAGGGAAGAAAGCCAACCCCAAACAAATATAAAGATATTAAGATAAAGAATGAATTGTTAAACTTTAAAGAATAAAAGAGAACAAATATGAATAAATAACAATAATTAGAAACACACATACAAACATACAATGTATTTTCTTTGAATAGAGTATTTGGCCGGTTCACAAATTTAAACAGTGTTTAGTCATTTCAATTAAATTTACAATTTCTATATTTCCTTTTTGCCATATTTATTCCTCATCTATTTTTGTAAAAAACCAATATTACCCTCATCCTCATCTCTAATCTTAATCAAATTCAATTTTTCCCTTCTATTCTATATTATACCCCTTCCCATTGTCATCTATTTTTATATCCATCCTCACATTGGTTAATTATGTAATTATGTAATACAGTTGTTTAATACAAATTCAACATTTTAATATAAATCAATTAGTTATATAACTACCTTTTTTGTATATTAATCAATATGAACATGAATTCCAATTATTTCCATGCAATCCAATTTCTTACAAATCCATTAATTATATTTACCAATAATAATAAACCAAATAATTTCCCCCATATATTCCTCCAAACCACAACTTAACCATTTCTGCTTTCAGAAATATACAATTAATAGTATCTCAATTATTACAATTCCCTAGTTAAATAGAGCTTTTTTTCTTTTGTGTTTTAAAATCTCCTCTTTTTCCCTAAATTTCTAGTTGTTTGCACCTACCTTTTTTGGTGAGGAAAAAGAAAAGAAATCTGCCTGCCTAATTTTCCAACATGCAAAGCCAACAGCCTGCTTTACTTTCTCTTTCGTTTTTCAGTATAGCTAGGGGGGAAAAAATCAGCACTCTTTGCAAGCAAGGAGCAGATCCGTGAGCAAAACAGCTGAGAGCAAATCAGCTGGGGGTCAGGAGCCGATCAAAGCAAGGGCTAATTAGCCTATGCTGAAGCTCAGGGGGCCAATAAAATTACAAAAAAACCACCGAACCCTTTGTTAAATTGCTGGCTCCCCCGCCCCTTGCCCACCACTATTGATTGGCAATAAATAGTGGTGCGGAGGGGCGGGGCAAGCCAGCAATTTAACAAAGGGTTCGGCTGCAGCACTGGCTCTAGGGCGGCCCTTTGAAGCCCCGCGGCAAGAATTTGAAGTTTTTTTTTCCTCTAGCCATCGGAGGCAGCAATAGATGGGGAGTGGGCGGGGTAAGCGAACGGCAGGTGATCCAACAGAGCAGAGAGTGAGGGTGAGTGAAGGCGTGGAAGCTGCTTTCTCCATCCTGCTCTCTTGCGTCCGGAGCCGGTGGGGAACCACGTGGCAGCCCACGTGGATCCCAGGCAGCGGAACTCAGGCTAGGGAAGGGGTGGGCAATTGTGGCTCTTTTACAACCTGTGGACTTCAACTCCCAGAATTCCTCAGACAGCCAAGCTGCATCAGGAATTCTGGAAATTGAAGTCCACAGGTTGTAAAAGAGCCACAATTGCCTACCCCTGGCTACGGTAGGCTGGCGCCGCACGGGTGGGAGGCGAGGGGCCGGAGAGCCAGCAATTTAACAAAGGGTTCGGCCAAACCCCCTAGAACCCCCAGAATCCCACCACTGTGTAGGCCCCTCTTGATCTTGAGGCCCTAGGCTGAAGCCTAGTTAGCCTATAGGAAAATCCGGCCCTGGTGCACACGCTCCATTTGCGTGAGTGGCAGGCACGCATTCACACCACTTGTGCAAATGGAGCTGTGCATGTGCATGCTTTCCAGCCACTTGCATAACCATTCCCTCCCCCCTGCAAAACTGGAAATGTTGGGGAACTCTGGTCTAGGCCATGTAAGTATTGAAGTGCAGCATCATTTATATGAAAAAAAAATCATACTGGATCGGTATGACCACCTTACAACTGCTCAGAGTCTACAGTGGGACGTGGGACCATGCAGTCACACTTAGGGGAGGATACTATGCCCCATTTATACAGTGAGTCCTGGCACACACCATGTGAAGTATGAATCCTATTTAGGACTGTCCAGATAGTTCAAAGCCTGGCATCTTTTTTGTGGGGTCATTTATACATCTTCCTGTGTCTGGAACCCTTCCTGGGTTCAGCAACCCATTTGGCTTTCCATTGGAATCAATGTTAAAGTTGTTGGGCAGATGTTGTGCAAGTGCCAGTGAGGGCTTTCTGGATTTTTCATTAACATTCATACTAATATGGTGTGAATATCAGCTGCTTCAGATGGTCAGAAAGAGGACTGTCAGGTGATTGTAGCTTGACACATTTGAGAACAAAGTGTGAGGTTGAAGGACAAGTCCTGAGCCTCTAGCTGGAAGCTTCTCGCAAGGATTGTTGAGTAGTGTCTAGATTGATTCCTTAATGATATGACATGATACTGTTGTGATGATATAGCATC